TTGATTCAAAATATATATGGGGGAAAGGGGTAATTGAAAGAATAAATTGAAAAAGAATATGGTAGGTAGCATATTGAATAAGTATACTATTTTTACGACGCAGCAAACCTTTGAAATCGATTTATCTCGAAAATGGTTTGCTATCAAAACTAAACAGCAGTACCATTTTTAAGTAAAAATTACGATAATTTCATATTTCCTGGTGAAACTGCTGAAAATGGCATAGAAGAAGAAGTTGGGGGAAGAAATCCCCCTAGCCCCACATATTTCCCACGCCCCTGATAAATATTTTGTAAAATTCTTAACATTTCCAAATCCGGCATGAAATAGATACGATATCGTGAAGACTCATATGAGATGGGAAATTTGTCAAACAAAGCCGAAGGCCGAGTTTGATAACCCATCGATTAACGTAATATGAGTTTACGATACGAATATTGTACAATATTTTACCTACTACCAAAAAGCTAATTATTCAATCAAAAATATTCAATATTCCTTGAACTGACGATTTTTTTTTTGCAATTGCATACCTCGTTCATTCATTCGGAATATGTAACAATCAAGCGTTGCAAGGGTTGGGCGTATGGTTGTCGTGAATCTATTAATCATCCCAGAATTACGTCATTTGACAGGTTGCTGAGGGGCAAACATTGTATTTTGTCAAGATTTGTCGTATGAAACCCGAGTTGGATCCCGAAAGAATTTCATAATTTTGTTTGGTGAAACTGTTATTATATTGTGGATGTAGCAGGGATGGCCAGGGCTATGCTCAACAAAGGTAACAGATACTTTGTGTGCCCCCCAAGAAACCATCTCAAAATCACGTGTTCTATAGAATGGTCAATTGTGCTCTCGGTTGTCACTCATTCGGCGAACTGTCAACATTGACGCGTTAATTTCAATTCGAAAAAAAATTCATCGGCATGAATAGGGATCAGGAAAGTTTAGATTTCGATATAGAAATTGCGGCGAATGTAGCAATCGAAACTTCAGTGCCTGCTGAATCCCGGGATAGGTACGAAAATGAATGTCTATATTCATGATAAATTGGTTCTTATTTCTTTTTTGAACAAAAATGAAATTTGAAATTATATTTTTTCCCTTTACCGTAATAGTGCGGTAAAGTATCTCATTGCGATACTAAAATCAGTGTCGTAACACAGTTGAGAGAATATTACATTCTCTCAACTGTGGTCGTAATGTTTCACATACATATTGGTAGGAGGTGATAGATATTTACGATACGAGTATCGTAAAGACTCATATTATACGATATGAGATGGGAAAGTTGTCGAACGAGGCCAAAGGCCGCGTTTGATAACCCATCGATTATCGTAATATGAATTTACGATACGAATATAGTACAATATTTTTTCTACTCACATAACTAAAATGGCATTTAGCGTACGGATATGTACCACGCTAAATGATCGATTATTCACGAATTGTCGATCTGTGATTTATTCAGAATATTAAACACGTTACCATGGCAACACGATTTCTTGAACACATTCACCATGGCAACACAGTTCATTAAACACAGCTTCAGTAATTTGAGACATGTCTGGCCTGTCAATTGTATTAACTGTCAACTGTTATTTTCAAATTTTGTATCAGAATTATTCAAACAATATTCGTTTGTATCAGAATTCTTCATTAAAAATATATGCGAGATGTAGAAGAAAGTGAAATCGAAGGGAATGTTCTGGTACTTGCATTCTTGCATATCTCCAAGAAGTGTAAAAATGAGGCATCAATCTTTGAGAACAATTTATTTATTCTGCGCTGAGCATAACGATAAACGTGACACAAAGGTTCGTGAGCAGGCTGGACACATCTACAACCAATATCACTTATACTTGTCTCGCTGGTTGCATGCAGTTGCATGTATTATGTTCTCAATTCCCATTCCTTTCGAATTATTTTGTAGGGTAGCAGGAATAGCAGGTATGTTAATGTAATTTTCGGAGTTCGTAGAAAAAGCATAGTATGTAACGCGTTTATAAACTCTTCCAGACACTCGTTTATTAAACACTCGCTCCGCTCTGCTCCGCTCGTTCTTAAAATACTCGTTACTAAAAGGACGTTTATAACACTTGTTACATAATATACTATTACCTACTACCAAAAACGCTAAATATTTAATCAAAAATAAGAGTTGGGCATATACATACTTGTCATGAATCTGTTGTGTTCTCGGTTGTCACTCGTTCTTTAAACTGTCAACTTTAACGCGTTCATTTCAATTTGAGAAAAATTTATCGAAAAGATCCATAATATACAGGGTGTTAACAAATAAGTGTCACAACGGAAAACTGTAGATTCCTCATGATGATAGAAACATTTATTTCCTCTTCAAAATTTTTCTCCGGGCTTTAGTTTTCAAGATACAGGGCGTCAAGAAATCAAAAATGTTCAGATTAATTAAACACACTTTACAACACTTAATAAACTTAACAAATCGAAAACCAGCATCGAGACCAGTATACTCAAGAACCTGAAATTTGATTCAACATATTATTAGACAGTTCTGAGGTATTTATTTCCAGTGGATTTTTAGACGATTTTTGGAGATACCATCAGGATTTTGTATGTTTTTATTCATAAAGATCCATTCTTCTCGGAAACTATTGACTTTAGAGCATTGAGACAAGAGGACGTTTTTTGTGTGAAAGATATTGGCGTTTCAGAATCTACTTCGGAAATTACAATTTCTCCAGTGGCATAAATGTTTGGGGGGTTAAACCCTCACGAGGCGTTGAATTCTCCTCCACAGACATGTCCACGGAAATTGATTAAGAGCCCTAAAAGTAGTCATTATTAATGATGAAGTGTGTACGAAGGCTCAACTCCGTAGCTCAGACGGTTCCTGAGATAGTAGCAAAAAACAGATTTTTTTGTATTTTTTTGACGCCCTGTATCTTGATAACGGGAGCCCGGAGACAAATTTCGAAAGGGAAAAAAATGTTTCTTTTTTATTGAGCAATCTACAGTTTTCCGTTGTGACACTTATTTGTTAACACCCTGTATATATATAGAAATTGCGGAAAATCAAGCAATTCATACTTCAGTATCTGCTATATTCAGGATAAATTAGTTCTTATTTCGGTTTTCTTTGACTAAAACAATGGAAATTGAAATTGTGTTTTCACTTTACCGCACTAGTGCGGTAAAGTAACCACAGGAGGCCGTTTCTAGGCTCATGTTCATATGCATTTTTTTCACTATTTTTGTTCCTAGAAACTGTGGTTGAAATCTTTCTATGTAATTTCGAAATAACCTGTACAGGGCATGCTAAAGTAACTCATCCTGAAATTGATATTTTTATATGGTGCAAAAAAAAATAGTAGGCGACTTTTGAGAAAGTGGTTCCGGAAATATTTTAATGCTACATTTGGAAATCGCCCGCGCCCATATTGTACAAAATGGTACCATTGATTGGACATCAGGAGTTAGCCTGGACTCACAGCTATCTGCTAACTGTTCCACAGATTTGGTGCTCTATAAAGGCGCGTATTCACCTGAGCACGAACGGGAACGAGGCAAAGTGAGGCCGAACGAGCGTGCGTAGTGTGTACGTCACAACGAGGCGCGGAAAACGGTGCGGTGCGGGTGCGCGGTCCGAAGCAGTTCGAATGCCATCCGATCGGTGTCGGTACTTCAAAGAAAAATTTGAATATATGTGGACGGCATTGGTGCCGCCGCACGGGGTGGATCGCTGCCTCGTTCGTTGCCTCGGATGCTTCGTTTCGCCATCATACAAAAATACGAACGAGGCATTCGTTCGGCCTCACTTTGCCTCGTTCCCGTTCGTGCTCAGGTGAATACGCGCCTTTATATTGATCCGTTTTGAACGGTTTGCGAGATGTTTTCGTGAACTATGCTACGGTGATAATGATTTTCAGAAAAATCGACATAAATCTCCGAAAATGTGATAGATAATTTGACATAAATGAGTCAGTTACGGTCCCCTGAAAGGGTGCTCCTGAAGATGATATTTCTTGAATATTTCCGAAACGCTATATTATAAAATGATGCCATTTGGTAAACGAACTAAACTTTCCATGCCCAATGCGGTGAACATAAAATCATATCAAAGTTTCATTCAGGAGTGTATAATACAGTGTGAGACTAGATTAAATATTGCTCAAACTTTTTTTCGTATGCATATTTTTGGACAATTTTATCTCGGATTATGAAAAACCACAACGTTTCACAAAAAAAGGTGCTCCTGTTCCGAATTGATTAGATTCATCATTTCCGAGTGAAATCGATTTAAAAATATTGATGCACTAACATCTTATGCAAAACGTTGCCAATTTTTAAATCAGTGGCTAAAAAAAAATCAAGTACTTTCTTTTTACCATATACAATCTCATGAAAGCGCGAAAAATAGGAAAATGATGATGAAAAAATTACTTAAATTTTTGTGATTTTTTTTTTCATCTGAACTACGCCTCATTGCAATGTTATGTATAATATCTGAGATATAACAATATTTTTAAATTGCTTTTACTCGATAAGAATACATCTGATCGTCACGGAACAGGAGTTCTTCTGTAAAGAGGTGTGAAATTTCATATTCAGAGATTAAATTGTCGAAAAATATGCATACAAAAAATGTTGAACAATATTTAATGTAGTCCCACCCTGTATTATACACTCCTGATTGAAATTTTGCAATGGGCATGGAAAGTTTAGTTCTTCAACCAAATGGCATTTTTTTATCACATGGAGTTTCGGAAATACTCAAGAAATATCTTTAGGAGACCCTTTTCAGGGGGCCGTAGGACATCTACTCATGTTTATTGTGAGTTTTCTTTCTATTTTTGGTCGTAAAAGCCACTGGTGAGGTTTGCCAAGCTAATTTCGGGACACCCTGTATAATATGATAATATTATTATTATTTTTCTCCGGCGTGAATGTACTGGCAATGGCGCATGTTGGTTGATTTATTCTCGGTACGACATTTCTAATAAAAATGTTCTTATTCTTACATTGAATACTAGGTGTTGTACGAGGATGGCAAGTGCTTCGGCAACAGGTGGCTGCTTGAATGTCGGTACCCTTATTGGCTGAGAGGGGGGCCGGACGGAGGGCGACGTTCGACCCCCTTTCACTGTACCTCTGCCGCACTCTGAAACAAAAAAAACAACAATAAATTGAGGATGTTCCATACTCGGTTATTAGTATGATTTATAATAAGATGATTTACCTGAAATTGTTTAAAAAAATGTACTATACAGGGTGAGTCATGAGGAACTGTACATACTGCTACCACGAATAGAGGCCCCTGAGGGGAATACCGAATGTCCATCAGAATTATGATATTTTGCAAAAACATCTTTGAGTCATAACTTTCCAACAGCTTCTTCGATTCGTCTCGTTTTTCTTATGAAATATTTCGCTACTATACTCTGTAGTCGACTGACTTATTCAGAATCGGGAAAATCCAGGACTGTTCTTGAAAAATTTTGAAAGTTTAGTTTATAGTAAAAAGTTCATCCTGTATTCTGTTTTTGTAAACTGTGACACAGGGAATTTTCAAGGGTCACAAACAAACATTGAAAAAAAAAATATTTCAAATTTTCCTCACATTCTCACTGCAGTTTGAAAAAAACTAACAATTTCATGAAAGGAACGAAAATTTGGCGAAACGTTTATTTATTTGGAAATTAAAACTTCCCAACCCATTAATTTTACGATAAAAGTGAGACTTGAATTTTCAATGTTTCAACTCAAGGAAATCAACATATCATTTAATCTTCAGGCCTGGATTTAGTTATTAAATTTTTTTGTGGAGGATAATATTAGCGCTGTAGATTATTTTCGAATCAGTGGATGGTATATAGCCATCGTTATAAATGATTTGTTCTACTCACATAACTAAAATGGCATTTAGCGTACGGATATGTACCACGCTAAATGATCGATTAAACACGGATTGTCGATCTGTGATTTATTCAAAATATTAAACACGTTACCATGGCAACACGATTTCTTAAACACATTACCATGGCAACGCAGTTCATTAAACACAGCTTCAGTAATTTAAGAACATATCTCGCCCATTCGATTGAGTATATTCAGAAACGGCCTACTCGATATCCATTATTTATATTAGGCTTTTGACTCAAGACGTTTTCGAAAATTTGCCTCTAATTGGAATACAGGATAAAAATTTTCAATTCAACCTTGTTACCTGATATCGATGATTCTTATCAACTGATTTCCAATATTTATTGTCCGAGTATGAGACACAGATTATTGTTGTACAACTAATTGAGTGTTTCACAATACTTATCTGACAAATTACGAACTCTAGAAAACAATAATGTTAGAAGAATGTGGTGACCAGCATTATCTCCAGATCTGAATTTGATTGAACATGTGGGAGCCGAATGAAACTTAATCTATCGAGAAGGCGAGAGGCACCCCAAAATAATGACAACCTTACCCAAGCTGTATCAGAAGAATGGGAGGCAAAATCAATAGACTTCATCAATAACCTCATAGAATCTATGCCAAACCGATTTCATGAGGTTTTGTTAAATCGGGGAGGCCCTATACCAAGTACTGGAACTTGGGATATAGGACTTTCTAGTTGGATCTTCATAATGCTGAAGAATTCACTAATGTCATATTTCGCCAATAGAGCTCATTTCGAATATTTTTAGTGGACATAAAAAAAATATTTTCCATCTCGTTTAACTTCTATAAAATTTTCATGTGATAAACTTTTTATGTAATATCGTAGTTGTGGTTGTAATATGTCAGATAAGTTGTGAAACAGTCAGTAATATTGAACAACAATACTCTGTGTATCATACTTGGGCAATAAATATTGGAAATCAGTTGATAAAAATCATCGATGTCAGGAAACAAGTTTGAATTGCAAATTTTCATCCTGTATTTCGATTAGAGGCGAATTTTCGAAAATATCTCGAGTTAATAGTCTAATATAAATAAAGGATATCGGGAATATACTGAATCGAATGGGCCATGGTTTTAGTAACCATTTTTAATTTTCAATACTGAAATGACATTTTGTCCTACTTTCTTATCATCCTGTATATTCCACAATAGTGCTTTCCTGTCTTTCATTGTCCTCCACAAAACATGAGAACAGTTTTTCCCAATAGCCAGTTCAAGTGGAGTTCTAGAGAAAAAATTAAAAAAATGCAAGAAGTTCGAAAAAAAAAATCGAATTTTTATTCCAATGGCCGATGGTCCATTTAGTGTGTTGAGAACTGTAGTTGCGTAAAGTGAAATATTACGTAACTGGTGAATCGTGCTGGTGATGTGAAGTTAATTTCAACACCAGTTACGTTATATTTCACTAATGAAGATATCAAACGAGTTTATTTCGTGAATTTCGTCGCTTCGCTTCGCTCGTCCCTCAAAAACACAAAGTTGCATGACGCAGTTCCTAAACTTGTTACGTAAACATCTATTTTGACCTGAAAATTTCATGAAGAAAATTTCAAATATTTTTGTTTTCCAGCTGACTGAAACATGTTTTTCAATTTCAATTTGAAAACTTTCTACCCTGCCAACAATTTTCTTGAAGACTTGTTCCCCTGTTTACTAGCACATAGGAGCACCAAGTCAACCAGAAAAGATACTAATTGAGCATATCTGGTACGCGGGCGTGAACGAAATATTTTCTCATTTGCATAACTCGAGTCAAACCAAGCGGTCAAATTGAATATTCACGTGGTTAAGTCCTTCCTTCCGAGCGATTTCCGGTACTCGATTTGTTTTGTCAATAATAATAACTGTGTCAGTCACATGCGGTTCCACTATGCATGATATCAAATTGAATTAACCTATTCCTTCAATTTTGATGTTCATATAGTATAGGAAAAAATAATGAGAGATCAACTCAGGTTCATAGTCAATCAAGCAAAGGTATTAGACAATCATTGATTATTAAATGGATTGTAAACTCAGTGGCGTACTTACGGGAGGGGATGGGGGAGAATGCCGATATAGAAAGACACCACTTTCCTTCACGTATTATACGTTTTCATCTCTATAAGGGTTCCGTGTCGTTAGTTGAGTGGTTGAGTGAGACTAGCTTGAGAGGGTATGCTCAAATCAATGATGATTACATCAGAGTGGCTTCAAAATTATCAGCAGTTGGAACTGATGGAAGTGATTTCTAGTTACAGCTGAATGAAAATTTCGTATCTATTTTTTCCAATACACATTTAAAATCTCAGGAACAACAAATCCATTCAGAAGATATTGAAGATATTGTTTATTTTTACTCGGTGCCAGTATCAGTTACATACATGTACTACTAATATTCCTACCTGGTATTCCAAAAATTGTTATCGAAGACGAAATGAAAATGTGACTCCAAAAATTTTAATACATGTTTGGAAATCATAAGCCAAAGTGCGCTTAGATTCTACTCTGTAACACTCAAAATTATTGTAGTCACCAATAATCATATACTTCAGTCGATGAACGCGAAATAAGGGGATGTAGAGGACATGGAAGATGAAAAAAATTTTTTGGGATGTATTTGGAGTAGATAGGAAGTGAAAATTCCAAAGGTCCCCGAACTTACAAGATGAGCAAAGTGGAGGGATCGACGTAGAAGATTCATTTTTTGAGTTATTGTTCATATCTAAAAAAGGGAACGTCACAGCGAAAAAGTCAATTCATTCAAAATTGTAGCTGCTAAAATTTTCTACAAAATTATATATGTAGGTTTTTTCTTTATCTTTCATAGTTTTCGAGATATCAAGTACAGTTCCATACATTTGTGCACCACCACTATAACATCTGTTTGCGAAATTACAAGATATTTGAGGTTTTCGTGGAAATAACCAATGAAATTAATTGATTGTTGATGTTGAAAGAAGGCGTGCATGCAATTAAAAGAGTGTTTGTTGATTTAAATCATACTTATGGCTCGACAGGATGGATTTAGAAAAAATTACTGCAGTCGACATAGATATAGGTGTACGTTGGTAATATCACCGAACATGTTTATGTTCGGTGGTAATATTATTTGTGTAAAATTCCAGTGGTTGTAGTCGAAGATAGGTATTTGACTAAAAAGTTTTTGAACGGAATTGAAATCACTCTCTTTTCTAGACAGCTCTGGACAATCTGAAGTCATAATAAAGTCATTGTGTATATGTCTATTTGCGCAAGAAAATCGAGGAAAACAAAACACGATATAATAATAATAATATCAGTTTATTATGATCGACAAGAAATTTTGTGTACCATTCGTCAAGGTTATATAGATAAAATAAATACAATACAATAATTCAATCTCAAATACTCTCAAATAATATGAGATTTACAAACATTTGGATAAAATACATCACATTTACATAAAAAAAATTAAAATCAGTTTATCAAACAGTCAAAGAACTCACTAAATGAGTAAAACCTATGGTAAAACAAATGTTAAGTGAGGAGATCTTTCAGGCTATTCCTAAATTTGAGGTGAGTGGTACAATCTCTGACACTTCCTGGCAAATTCTTGACATGTTTGTAGGGCCAGTGTAGGTTAGTTGTAAGGTGTTTTTAGGTGGGTAAAGTAGGTAGTCGAATTTATACAAATAATTTCGTTATCCAGAAGAATTTTACACTGTACTGCTATAAGGGTATTCGATGTGAAACACTTAATTTTAGCGATCCCGCAGACTTTTTTTAAGTATTTCATTAACATGTTTAATTTGACAAAATGATATTTTGTAAATTATACAAAATATTCAACTTCAACACCCTGTATCTTCTTCCGCAGTAATATTTTATTAAGGCATATTTAGTCCTGTTCACCCCAAACAATCATCGCTTAGCCTATGTCCCAATAGTTATGACTCACCCTGTATAAATAAAAATAGAAAAGTATTCATTTCAATGACGAATGCTAGGAAAGAGATTTGTTAATTTTAGAAACGGATATCCTCTGAAACTATACAGGAACATCTAGAATTATTATCTACGCACCGAAAAGCACTTGAGAATGCGAAAAATTAAAGAAAACATTCTCGACGAGAGGTGCTGTTTTTACAGATGTCGGAGACCTTTTGAGACATTCTGTTTGTTGCGATTCGTTTGGAAGCCATATTTTCTGTTTTGTTGAAAAACGGAGTGTTTTTCATGCGGAATCGAGCGAGTATAAATAACTACAGGATGTTATACTAGACTGAACCGTCGAGTATCCATTTGTAATTATAGTTGTTACTTTTCAATCATAATATACGATCGTTGTTCTTTTTTACAGTTAAGCTTGAGAAATCAATAATTTTATACCTAATCGATATACAGGGTAGCACGGTTTATAATACAAAAAATTCAACGGTATGTTGAACTCGTTGAAATAATAAAAAAAAGTTCATATAAACATATACTTTTAAACGAGTCGTTTTCGAGATATAGGGTGTTGAAAATACGAGTCTGAATATTGTTTTCTGATGAAGAGTTCGAAACGGTTTGAGATAAATCAACTCAATTTCTTACAGATACTAAACTTTTTACGCTGCATAAAATGAGATAAAAATTATTTCATAAAGTAATTCAGTGGCGGCTGAATCTGGGGGTGGTGAAGAAAATAATCTCCCCAATTTTGATATGTGCAATTCTTTCTCGATTTGTATATCAAAATCTGAAAATACATAGGTTTCTGCGTGAAAAAGCTCTCTTTTAAGTTTTTGATGCGTTTCGCCGTTTTCGTGTTAATTGTTCAGGAATACCGTATAACATTTTCAGTTCAATAATAATATTTAAGTGTAATTAAATTAAGAGTGATGTGCTCACTTCTTCATCTCATATTGCGTGAAAAGTTTAGTATATGATCAATTTTGTTGATTTATTTCAAACCGTTTCGAACTTTTTTTATTATTTCAAGGAGTACAACACACTATTGAGTTTTTGTATTACAAACTGGACCACCCTGTATACCGAACATTATATTAGCATGTGAGGGATTAAGTTTCAATTATGGGAATGTTTGTTGTGATGGGTTGGATTAAGCACGGATTGGTCATTAACATTATCCATTTGAAATAACTTTTCAACTACGACTATTACAACAGGTGCCAATTTATTCGTAAACATCGTTAACATCTAGAGATTATCTATATCGTGTGTCAACGAATTTTTCAAAGAAGCCTTGGTTGCCAGAGTTCAGAAGGTATAAGATTCAAATTCGGCAGGGAAATAGGATTCGAGAATTGAAAAATTTAGCAATATTCCGCAGTTTCACCGGAAGCGACCCCAACTTTTTTAAATGGGACACCCTTTATTTGATTCCATAATTGGTTAGGATTATCAACGATACTGATGGGTTTGATATAGCTGTATTTCCACGATTACGAAGATATTCGCGTTCGAAATTCCCATATGTTCAATGAGTGTGACAGAGAAAGAAGTTCCAACATTGCGCCGATCACACCAATTGAGAATATGGAAACTTCAAACGCAAATATCTTCGTAATCGTTTAAAATAATCCCACCAAACCCGAAATCTTTGAAATCGTTATAATAATTCTGAAATATTATGAAATGAAAGATGCTTTGCGCCTCCGGATATAAAAGTGCTTGCTATAATTATATATAAAATATATATAAAAATGATCTATTAGTCACTTCTCACCCTAGGTGAATAATATACTATTATATAACATATATCGTAACATATGCCCCCAGTTTTTTCATAATCCGGAAAGCATGTAAGTCTTTTTCACCTTGATTCTAAATATTCAGTTGTGCCCTCTTCCATGGGTACCGTTATTACTAACGTAACTAAATGATGATGAGATGAACCGGTCTTTGTTAATTATTTAATTATTACTACTTCAATAATAATGGATCGTAATCTCGATGGATCTAGCTGGATCATTACAAGCAATCATTGCCTATTGTATTCAAATCGGATCACATCAAAATAATTGCTACTAGAAATTCCAAATTGAAATTCGCACAGAAGACGAAACTTGTGTTGCGGGAAGAGGGGAATGCGATAGGAAAAATATGGATGAAAAAATACTGTAGTCGTTTATATCTATAATTCGATTTGAATAATGGTGAAGCCCATGTGCTCACAAGAAAAAATATAAAGAATTTTGCAGTCATCTATAAGTCGATTTGAATTATATTCTTAGTATATAGGTAATAATATGTAGTAGGATATATAAAAGTAGGCAAGCCAAGGTTAGTTTGGTTCATTGTACCAGTATATCACCTGATGAAGCTACTGTGTTAGCGAAACATGTCGTGTCCTTGAGAATTTTGTGGAAATCTTATCGTTTTTACTAATATCTATTTGGATTGTGTGATTCTTATCCATTGGATCGTATATAGTCTTAATCGCGGTTTTTATAGTCGATCCAAATTGCCGTTGATTTCTTTCAAAGTCATGCTCGGCCATGTTCGTGTATTTGCTTATCGCTCAATAGTGACTGAAATTCAATCAAATCAGTTAGTTGTCTGTTAATTGGCATTTTATATCTGCAGATTGATGTGGCTGTGAACGAGCTTGCTAGTAGGAGCACAGTTGAAACTGTGGTAGGAGTTTGCATCAGCGAGAAGAAGCCATACTTACTTGATTTCGGAAGGCGAGAGGTGACCATGATAATTTCAAATAATTGTGTTAGCCTTTTTCTTCATCAGAAGTACATTGTGATTGTGATTGACTAATTGTATTGAAATCTGCTTTCATTATTAATGAACTTTTGTACTATACAGGGTGTTTCTTAAGTACGTGTAGAAAATTCAGGAGCATGTTGCTGACGTCAAATTAAGATGAAAAGTTCATAAAAATATAAATATTAGTCCGAAAGTCCTTCGTTTCTGAGATACAGAGTGTCAAAGTTGAATTCTTATTATTGTTTTTTGGCAATATCAAATTGCATGTTAGTTTGTTCCTTTCGTGGCGCCACCTACATGTCTTTTGAGAAGTCATAACTTTCCTGGAGTCCTAGTAGTCAACGGTCTGCCTATCACTGGAGCTTTTTTAAAGAATCCAGACTCCATAAAAGACGCTGAAAAAGGTTTCTGAATCTCTGGTGATTCGGCAATCGATGATTAGGGAATCTTTCATTCGATTATTTTTTCAAATTGGAAGAGTCAAAAAAAGTAGGTACAAATAAGAAGTAAGAATCATCTTTTGCCGACATTCCAATGTTGAATGTAGGAGAATATTGAATGGATGAACTGGCGTATCTTTTCTGATATTAACTACTTAGAGGCGACCGAGGAGGCGACTAACGACCCCTATGGAAATAATTCAAATGCATCGATGATTTCAAATCCCAATAACTCGATAACACAGTTGCTCGCAGTGACCTCTACCAGGAATATATTTTTCACACAAAAGTGTTTCAGAAATCTATTTGTTCACTATTAAACGTGATACAGGTACGCACAAGAAAGTTATGACTTTTCAAAAGACTCAAAAGACATGTAGGTGGCGCCACCCCCACGAAAGAGACAAACTAACATAAAATTTGATAGTGTCATTGAAAAATACCATTAGATACCAAACTTTATTCGAATATCACAATTATTTCGAAATTTATTAACAGAAAACAAAAATAAGAATTCAACTTTGACACTCTGTATCTCAGAAACGAAGAACTTTCGGACATTTATTTATACGAGTTTTTCTACTTGATTTGACGTCAGCAACATGCTCCTGAATTTTCTACAGGTACTTAAGAAACACCCTGTATATATCATACCAATTATTTACTGAATATTATATAAAACCACTCGGAAAACGTTAAAAAGTACTCATTTTGGATATAAAATCACTCAAATAAAGGGCCTTTAAACGCTCAACAAATGTTCTTGACACTCAAAAATGAGTTGAAACTCTCAAGAAATTGCGAAACTGAAATATATTCAAATCTAAACTGGGAATATCGACTCAATTCTGATTCCTTATATACACTTATTGAATTGTCATTCCCCTCAGTCAAGTAATTTTCAACTCAATCGGCGAGGACCGAAATTGAGAAATTATCCACTGGAGTCTGAGTGAAATTTTTTTTCAGTGTATTGCAAAAATAGTAGTATGCTCATTTTATTGATTTATTTTATTAAGGAACTTTTCAAGGATATCTAAATCTGAATGGAAAATAATGATTCATAAAATAAGTTTATTGGTGTTATTCGAGCGCTGCGTATGTAATATTGATTCCATTGAGTTTCAAGTTATTTTGCACTACCACTCGCATCTGTTTTCGAAATCAGTTTTTCGAGGTTTTCGTGGAAATAATCATAGAATTGATTGTTAATGTTGAAAAAAAGCGCGCATGCAATTAACAGTTAGTTGATGTGAATATTGTAAATCAAATTTATATTATACCTTGGCAGGATACATTTTGGAAAAAACGAGGAAGAAAATACAGCAGTCGACGTATATAAGTATGTACAGTATGATCATAAAACTGTTGCACAGGCATGGGGATCGCGAAAACGGTAAGAAATATACGAATTCGGTTAAGTGAGAAAAAAGTTGCGCATTTCAACAGCCTTAGAAAATTCTCAAGATTATTTATAGTTTCTCAGTTATATCGAGAAGAGTGAATTTTTGGACATTTTTTCGCATTGTTCGCAACTTTAGCGCTTTGATAAAAATATGCGAAGTGACTCTTTTTAGTATTTAAAGGATTATTTTTTTTTATGTTGTGGTTCCCACGAAAAGGGATATCCTGTAATGTTCAGGATACATCGTGAGAACCAATAAGGGGAATAAGCTGGGAATTGGTGTTCTCTTTATATGCCTCTTGCAACACCTCCCTTGGCAATGTGTTCCAGAGCCTCGCTGTTCGTTGGATGAGCGAGTCTTTGGAAAGAGATGTTCTGCAGGTCTCGAAAGTGACCACGAAGGGGTACGAAGCCTCAACTCGACGGGTTAATCTCGCGGGGACTGCCAAGGGAGGAACAATTGTTGATATTTCAGAAGAGCATCGTCCATGAAAATATCTTTAAAACAGAACCAGATCTCCAACTTTTCTACGGAGTTCCAGAGAAGTGAGTGAGTTTGTGAGCGAGGCATCACCCACGAGACGAATTACCCTTTTTTGGACAGAATCCAACAGTTTCAGGGTATCTTTGGGTGCTGCACTACAAATATGGGAACAGCTGACTGGAAGTGAAATACCTCCTGGCCCGAAACAGAAAACCAAGGTTTTGGGATGCACTTTGGCAATTGATCTCGAGCAAAAATCCAAGAAATAAACTACTTACCAGATGAAGTGGGACAGCCAAAAAATTGACTAATTTTGATAAGCTATAACTCGGACATTTCTTGGCCGATGTTGGATTTTCAACCAAAGGTAGAAAGCGTCATCTTTGGGCTATGCTTCATTGGCGTCGGGTTTTTATTTTTGCGATTCGTTCTCTTTGAACAGAGTGTGAATTAAGAGCCGGAAAAATTTCAAAATTTTGACCAATAATTTGGGAAATGTGAGGGACCCTAGAAATATTTTTCAGATGTTGGGTGAATGGTTGGTCCGATACCTCGAGACGTCTTTGGAATTTTTTTGATAAATTGCGTTGCTATGGAAAAATCGCCATTTTATGAAATTACATTATTATTTTGAAATGTGGCTTCTTTCAGTTGAACAATAACAGCCCACATCTAAACTGCAACAAAGGATATTTCTATTGAAGATAATCAACACCAGTGGCGCGCAAAAAGGGGTTTATGATATTTAGAAACGAAAAATTTGTTTTTATTGAAAAAATTCAACATTTTTATTAATCGTTACAGTCAAAGAGGTGTCATAACCTCAATTAGCATGATGTTGTCGGATTCAGAGGCGTCCAAAAAAGGGGCTTGTGATATTTAGAAACGAAGAGAACGTTTTTATTGAGAAACAAATCAACAGTTTTATCGTTACAGTTAAAAAATTGCCATACATTTTATTAGCATGATGTTGACAAATTCAGAGGCGTGCAAAAGATGATCCTGTAATGTAGACAGATTAAAATTCCAGTTTCATAATTTATTTTATTTTCATTTATTTACAATAAGGTGCATACATGTGATTATTTATTTTCTAATGAATCCATCGGCGTAAAAAAACCATAGGCTCACGTACGTGAGAGAACGTTATTCAAGAAACTAAAAAAAAACACAAATAAATGAATATTCATATAAAAATAATCTGAATATCATTTTAGTAAGGCGTTGGCCCCACTCTAGCCTGAATAACTGTCTGGCACCGACTTGGCATGCTCGAAATTAATTCGTTTATTAGTTCTATAGGAACTGCATCCCAGATGTCCTTTTGAGATCGTCAAGAGTTTCTGGCTGACGTTACCTTCAGGAAAATTCCAACTCCATCCAACTCCAGATGTGCTCTATAGGATTCAAGTCTGGAGATCTGGGAGGGAATTTACTACGATTAATAATTTGGTCTTACCTCTTTACTAATATTGCCCGATGAGGCCGAGCATTGATAAAATATAGAAGGTAACGAAAGTACCCACTACCGCTCACTGACACTACCAGTAGGCCCATATACTTGGTCAGGGTTAATTTTTTTACTTTTTCACTCATTCAAGATGAGCATCCATGTAATTCCTTGACGAATGAAAGAGAATCCATTAATACAAGGCGATTCAGAAATTTTACATTATATGGAACCATTTTTAATAATTTTGCTATGTGTTGTTCTCCGTTCGCCCAGTGAAAAATTCCTTGATCGTGTGTATTTTTGATGAGCCTCGTATCTCTGGAAATGTATGGACCTGCTGAATTTTATTTTA